TCATGTGATACATTTACAAATCCGAACATTGTGGTTCATAGACACAAGATAAATAGTTTCCATTCCTACATTTTATTAAAAAATAAAATAAAATAAAAAAAAGCTGTCTCTCTTCTTCTCAAGAGACACTTGTAGTTTCTGAAATTCCACAGTCTGCTATATCGCTCGTAGAACCATCTGAAATATTTAGAAGTTCAGTAGAAAAAAAGGGAAAAATCTACAAGGTGAAGCAACTTACTGGTGGCTACGAAAGAAGAAGGTAGAGACAGATGAAATAAAGAACGAGAGCTGCCCAATGAAAAGCAACAATTCCCTCTGACCTCGGGTGAACACTGACTGAGAGAAAACACATTTATTCGGCAGCACAGCATTTGGTGTGTCTAAGGATTTTCAAGGGCATCGTAGGCCGTGTGACGAGGATGGATGAATACAGCAGAGGAACGAGGGGATGAAGTCAGCAAGCCTTTGCTCTCGCCGCTGCCTGTCGCTTTCGGGGGGTCGGCTCAGACGGCGCGTCAGACGAAGCGAATGCAGCTTGAAAGGAGCAGGATTCACACGTCTCTCACTGCCATTTCCGAGAACTCGCATTTGAATAATAAGCGGCAAATTACACTGTGCGGCGCCCGTTTAATACAACGCCGTACCGATGATGGGCAGCGTTATTATTCATCCGTTCACACGCTCACAGCCTCCCACCACTTTCGATGACACTAATGTTCTTAGAATGCGATCTGCAGCGAGGAGAAGCGTATCCTAATGTAAGAAGGAATAATGTTCCTTTTTGAGGATGTGTCCCTTTATTTGCTGTGATTTCTATTAATATCAGACCACATGTTCAAAAAAGAAATATTTATATATATTTACATATATATATATTATTGAATGTTTGAAATGTGAGTGCTTCCTAATTAAACTGTTTTGCCAGCTGCTTCTTGTCAGTCACAGAGTTCAAACTGCAGTCAGCCTTCAGCTGTGATTTTACAAATATGCAGTCTCGACTGTTCAATTCCATCTTCCACCAAGAGACTCCATTGAAATAAGTTTTAATTTACCTACATCTTGTGCTATTTTGCTTTCTCCAAATAGCACTGCTGTATTTCACACTGTTGATAAAAAAAAAGAAAAAAAGAAAACACTGGTTGACAGCCTGATAGAGTTGGTGAAATGATCTGATTTGTAGCAAAATTGGTTCAGATTTTGTCAGCTGACCTGCTGGAGCAGCTATACAGAATCTGGTTCAGCAAATATAAAGACGTCATTCTTGGGTCACGTTACTCAACATCTAATTTCATCTACTGGCCCAGACTGTGAAATGTTGCAAGGCCTCTTACTACAAGTGTTCTGATCACGGATAGCTTTCAGTCACTGTGTGACCACGGTCCCTGACAGACGCTGAGTGAGAGTATCCGTGATGTCAGTGAGTGGGATCAGAATTTTCTTTGGCATCCTGCTGCGAAGTAAAGAGGTTATTGAATTTAAAACCTAAAATTGCGAGCTTAGATCTAAGCACTTAGCATGCATGAACCGAAATGTAGTAATATACTTAGACCCAAATTTTGTCAACAAAAAAAGCGTATTTCTTAATGGGTCTAGCATTAGCTCTAACCCTTGTATTAAGTGTACTGTGAAAAAAAGGATTTTTGCTCTCATCTGAAGCAGATAGCTGTTGCTGTGTCTTCACTGGTTTCTTTAAAACACATCCTTAAGAAAACATGAGAAAACTGCCCCATAAAGATTGTCCTGATCACTTGTATAATATTAACAACTTGCTTAAAATGAACATTTTACTGTTTCTTCTTTTTATGAGGTGCATATCCCTTCATTTTCCGAGTCACCTTCTAAATGAACCGTGCCACACAACTAAACGCCTTTCCTTTCCAGCTCTTTAATACAGTTGCACGTACCCTTCCCTTCCTTTTCCTACATGGTCGACAGGCTCTCTGTGCAGTTCTGCCCAGCACCCAAGCAGCCAATCATAAAGCAGAGGAAGGTGCAAACACACTTTCCCTGCAGGGAATTGTCAGGATATGACTGCGATTTTTTTGTTTTTTTTTTGTTTATTTTCCCCCCAACTGCTCGATGGCATTTTTCCATTTGAGTCTGCGTGTACACGTATGTTTGTGTCCAAGAGATTAAAATCCGAAAACCACTGTCCACTTTCACATGCGACCTCAGATTTTACAGCAGAGCTGCTGAAATGTAGAAAATCTGCCTGTACATCCACTATGTTTTTCCCGGAATGCGCCTTACGAAAATCATCAGACAAGATGTACATGACACACGCAGGCTCACGCAGATACACTGGCTTACCATGTAATCTGTTCTTAGAGGAACCTGCTAAATGATTGTTCTCACTCATTACTCTCAGAGCTGACCCCTCAGTCTTTATTTCAGAGTTGCTGTAGAGTCATGTAGCGGGCCTGTTGCCACTTCCCTCCCCCCTCTGGAATAATAAACACGTGACCCTTGTATCGGCATGAGACTCACCGGGACATGAGTGATGTCAGCGGCCAGTAGGAGGACGCGAGTAAACAGTTTGTTGCAAAAGTAGTTATTGCACTTAAGCTTTTCTGCATTTGTCAATTTAACTTTTTATTAGGGTGTGATGGGCAAAAACTGTGGATTCGTATCAATGTCGCACAGTATTTGTAAATGATGCATTTTGAGAAAGAACACTACACATTACGCTAAAAACATCTTCCCTTTGGTAAAACAAAATCGAACATCGTGGTGGCAGAGTCACAGTAAGGGGAATGCTTTACTTTAAGCTGTTTAGAGTTATAGGTGGACGGAGGGAAGTAAATAAAATCTTGGAGATGCTGCAAAAGACATGAAACTGGGACAAAGGTCCTTTCGAGGAAGACGTCGACACTAAACTCTCAACCAGAGCCGCAGTTTACCGCCACGGATCAAACAAAACCCACGTGTCGGAGAGGTTCCCTCCAAACTGAATGACCTTGAGCTATCTTATATTGAATAATTAGTTAAATTATAAGGTGCTAAAGACATATCCCCAAAAGATATGCAGCTATAATTACAGCAAAAGGCAGTCCTAGAAAGTATGTCTCACAAGGGTTGAGAACATGCATCCACATATCATCTATGATCTTCCTTTTATTTCCTCAATGCTTTGTGTTGGTCTAGCAGCTCATAAAATGCCCGCAAATGCATAGAAGTTTATGTTTGTAAGGTGACCAAATCTAGAACAGTCTGTTTGATATAAATAGTGAGGACTGGCATGAAACACATAATCAGTATTGGATGCAAAGCATGAGGAGGCAATATTCCCCAGCTTCAGCTCCGGAAACTAGGACGGCATCAAACGCCGTAAACAGTCAAGAGCTCTTTACTTTGTTTACTAATCTTCTTTGGCAAAAATAATCAGGGAAAGAACTGAGCCCTCTGGTTGCATTTGTCAGGGGATTGACGCACTCGAAGATGCATGTCGGGGTCCTTATCACAGTTCGATGGAGAAAACATTCGCAGTAACTCGCAGAGATGTTGGCACCTCAACTCGTAATTTCTGCGACTGCGATAAATAAAAATCAGAAACCTGACTTGAAGCAGTTGTAATTGACTTTTTTTTTCCTGACACTTGGAATAAGATTGATGTGGTGTTTTTTTGTTGTTTTTTTTCCTTTTTATATTTACAATCCTATGTGGGGAGAGTAGCAGAAGACTTACCCTACCAGAAAGAAATTTCAGCTCTAAAATTGGTTTTTCCAAGGTCAATGAACTCAATTAGCCCTCTACAGATCCAACTTGTTTGCTGTAATCAGGCGGTGAGGGCAGGTGATACAATTGCAAGCTTTTGAAAAAAGAAAACCTCTGCAAAGTTAACATCGCTGTTTCTCAGAAGGTAAAAAAGGTGCATTTTCTCAGTTTGTAGAGTAATTAAGAAAAGTCAGTTAAGGAAAAGACCCTACAAATCCTTAGCCAATGTGAAATACCCTCAGGAAGACCAAGCAAACTTGGCCTAGCAGTGCACATTACTGAGAAGACTATATTTATCAGTCTTCTGATAAATACTTTGTATAAAACAAACCCTTTAGGCCAATGGCCTTCAACTCCAGACCTCAAGAGCCGATGTCCTACAACTGTTGGGTGTACCTACAACACACATTTTGGAGAACATGATTGAGAACCGCGGGCGGGATTCTGCCATTTGATTCAGGTGTGTTGGACTAGGGACACATCTAAAGGTGGCAGGACACCGTGCAAATGAGTCTCTTGCTTCTCTCCAGCATTTCTGTTACATGTTTCACAGGGGATTTTTGTTTGTTTGTTTTTTTTTTTGTGCCTTATAATGTAACTTTGTCAAAACAAAATTTGGCATTACTATAGAAAATGGTGTCTCAGGTAAAGTTAGGCATTAGTTTTTCCACAAGCATTATTGTTTTATTGAAGATTTTATTTTTCTACATTTTCTCCCATTTTTTCACTTTAATCTACTTTAAATTCACACCTAATATTATATAGGGATTTGAACCATAGTGCAAAAAGAAAAATACAAATCCAATCAAACTTGGTAAAATAAACAGGAAATGTTGGCAAACTTAGTACTTTGTGGTAAATGATGGGTTGTATTTCACCCAAGAAGTTAAAATGATAATGTTATGCAGCTAATAGTTTATTGTCAGCAGTACAATCTGGGTTTTTGGACATTGATTCTGTAATTTGCTTCGCATTTGTGGATCCATAGCATTGGTTTTGAACTTATGCATCGGTGCCCAAGATTGAAAGTTAGATGTTTCAAAGCCTCCGTCAGCATCCACTCTTTTCAGGGAGTATGTCAACATGTTCCTCTATACAATCAGTCGCGAGCCCCGTCACGCTGTGAGCTTGTCAGCTTCAAGGCAAGTGGCCTGCCGCTGTCGTCCTCACACTCCGTCTTCACACTCACCATGAATGCTAGCTGCATATGTTCCCTCTCCTGTACAGTGAGTCTGCACAGTGACTCAGTTCTCACCACCCTCTCCTCTCCTCCCCTCCTCCTGTAGATCGCATTTGATGCCAAGACTGAAGGAGTCTCGCTCCCATGAATCACTGCTCAGCCCCAGTAGCGCCGTGGAAGCCCTGGACTTAAGCATGGAGGACGAGGTCATCATCAAGCCTGTGCACAGCAGCATCCTCGGCCAGGACTACTGCTTCGAGGTGAGGCGGTGCTCTTTTTCTCCCCGCGCACAACCTCATAAAATTAACAGTTGAACCAGCAGCAAATAGCGCAAATTTCTTGTGCTTCCTCATACTTTATTTCTAAAATCCTCAAAAGTATAACAAAATTATTAAATTAGCTATTCCAGCATGATTTAGATACTTTAATAATGAAAATGCATATATAACTAAATGTGTCTTTCATCAAGCTGAACATTCAAGCTATTAATTGCTCAGTTTTAGACCAATAGAAAGCATCTTATCCAACAGAGTCACCAGTTGATTTCAGTGTGCATTTTCAATTATATGTGTGTCTGGAGTTTATTTCCAAGCAGAGGTCTTACATTGGGACTGGTTGAATACAGAAATGTATTGATACCAGCACGATTTGGAAACGGTGTCAACAGGAATTGTTGAATCAGTCATGATTCGTTTGTTGTGATACGAGTTGAAATTTGAAATAAAATTCTTTGCTGTTGAACTGCGGCCGTTTTTCTAGAGCCTTTTCGCCATTCAGCCTGAAACTCCAGCACTTGGAAAACAACCGCCAGTCAGACACGACAAGGTCATAAAAAGTTTTCAAGACTCATGTCTTTTGCGAGTGAAACAAGACATTAGTATTTTGATAAATTACAGATTTGGGGTTCATGGATTGTAAGCCAAAGCCCAGCATAGGAGAGTTCTGTTTTATGCCTCTGATCAAACACAGAAATGATTGGCACTTAACATTTTATTTTTCACTCCACTGCTACAACCTCTAGCCTGCTGAAATAGTCCTTTTGGGATACTTCCACTAAACGCTCCACCACTACCACTATTTTTTGGTTCACACACCCAAGAAGGTTTTAGAAGAAATCAGTATGTCATGTTTTTTTTTCTCTTCCCAGAATCATTAACTGTGGACTTTGATTTAAAAAAAAAATCTTGAGAAATCGTCCCTGCATCGACAAGAGGGCTGCCACAATGACTAGCATTCAGAAAATTGTCACCAAGCTGATTTAGGGTCTTTCCTCACTTTGTTTTGGTTTCGTTGCCTGGAACTTTACTCATGATGACTCAACTGTCTCATCAGTGTTGTTTACAGGCTCAGCAGGCAGCAGTGGGGCTCCAAACCCCTCACTATATGCTAGCTGCTAATGAGCCAGATTTGATACCCAGCAGAGATAAGGGGGTTTGGGGGGGAGGGTAAACTCTGTGTGTGTTAATCACTAACACATTCATCTAAACATTGTTACAGGATCATAATATGTACTTTAAGTGGTATGTGTACAGCTTACCCTGCTGTTACAACTGCTGCTGTTTCAAATAGTTGTGTTGATTTCCTCTGATGCCTTGCTCAATCGAAATTCTGATTCTGATTTTTTATGGGGTTTTTTTTTCTTTTTTTTTCCCCCATCTGACTTCTTTACATCAATCAGAGATTATAATTTGTTCTCATGGTCAATGTTTCAGCCAATTCTTAGTCAAAAACATATATATATATATATTATATAATATATATATATATATATATATATATTATATATATATATATATATATATATATATATATATATATATATATATATAATATATATATTTTATTTTTTTGGATAGTTTTCAGACCAAATATTTCCAAAAATTAAAAGATAAAAAGTAAAACAACAAACAGCTGGAATGTTTGATATTTATGGTTAAGAAGTGATTAATTAAGTGATTAAGTACAACATAGCATATGTCAAGAGAGAAAATGAAAGGTTTTACACCAGCACAACTAAACAACTAAAGACAATCAATGAATAGAAATAAAAAAGGTAATAAAATACAGCTGTACTGTATTATCTCCGATCACTGGAAAATTAAACGTCCCTAACAAAGACATGTTTGAAAAGAGAAACTGCTGAATATTTCAGATGACTTGAGTATGGCAAAAACTCTTAGCACCATTACATCAGGCTGCTGCCGAGCAAAAAGAGCTTCCCCAATTTGCATGACAGCGAGCTACTTGTTTCTATATGTCTGAATTTTTCTTGGACGTTAAAAGGAAGAAAAGGTCAAGGAAGCTGTGACCTTTGGACAGCCTGTTCTTGTCTGATTAGTCATTCTTTGTGGTCTGATTGGAAACTGCCCACCAGTCCTCACCATCTCCATGTTTTATTGGATACACACTCAAACTGTAGAGTCAGATTAGCATTTTTAACAATTTCTTTGAGAATATTATTATGTATATGTAGATTTGTGTGTATAGCACAAAAGAAGCAGTGTATAGCAGTGAAGCTGACTTCACTCAGGCTGTTTCTATCCATTGTGAAATTAGCCGAAATGACAAGTCATTTCCCACTGGTCATTTTCTGTTTCCTGTCATCCGCTTCTGTTTATTTTTCACAAGGTTATTTCTCTCTGGCTGCTAATGTGATGCGTTTTAACTGGGCTCACCGTGAAAGCTTAGTCGTCTCCTTTCTTCCGTGAGGCTCGATCATCGAAGCATTTGTTTTCCTCCTGTCTTTCTGCCTCTGCGGTAGGTCACCACCTCCACAGGAAGCAAATGTTTTTCCTGCCGTTCGGCAGCCGAGAGAGACAAATGGATGGAGAATCTGAGGAGAGCCGTGCAGCCGAACAAGGTATGTAAATGCACGCGATGTGCAAAGGGGACCGGGGAACCGTTGGGCAATCAGCACAAGTGTCCCAATTACAAAACCTCGCTCTGCAACACAGATAAAGACGCATTAAAGTGTCAACACTGTAGTAATTACTAACAACAATATCTAGTCTTCCCAGCAAGGTTAGCTCTTTGTGTAGACCACAACTTAAGGGTTTAGGATTCTCTGGTGGGATGGAGAAACACTTTAAGTGCTTTCCTCTGTTGATCTGTTGTGCAGCGAAGACTTGGGTGCCAAGCATGTCAAGGCGAGAAGATTTTCCGATTGAAAATATGTGAGCTGTTCATTCCTACATGTGCCATTACTTAGATATTTGGATATTTGCTCCTCCAATATAGGTGCTACCTAAACTCCACATGTTTGCTTGTGATGATGGGATAGAATTCCAACATTTCTTAAGGAAAAAAAAAATATATTGAGCTTTGGAGATTCTTTTTTTTTTTTTTACTTCCCTTACCATGATGATTATCATGTGACGTGGAAAGACATAGAAATATATTGTAATCCAGCAAAGTGAGTGTGTTTACGGTCTTCATGTCTGATCATACAAAATCCAATCGACTATAAAGTAAAGAAAGTTATAAGAGTAACCGAAAGAAATTATTCAAGTAAATTAATTTTCACAGCATTTATAATTAAGTGTGCAAAAAATTTGAAAAGTTTGGATATACGTTTCCCCTCCTGAATAAAAGTATTCAAGCTAAAAGTTGTAGAGGTTTATGAATGGCACCAGTGGGAAATAAATTTTCAAATGTTCTCCGTCTTTAAAATGTTTATTTTAATAAACCAGCTCGTAAAATCCTCTATCATTTTACTGAAACAGAACAACAAAATAAAAAAAAACAAAAAATAGAAAAAGTTGAGTAACTACAGCAACACCTGAAAACTGATGTGTGTAGATCCAATTACAGAGTTTGGAATAATAAACATTGCTGCCTTAAAATGAGCTAAAACTGATGGATACATCCCTAAAAAAGCAGCAAATGTAATCCAGTAAAATCGTTAAATCATTTTCTTTCCTCTTCAACCTATTTTTGTTGTCTTCTGTTGGTCTTTCACATAAAATCTAAATAAAGCACCTGGGACCTTGAGATGACAAAAAAGCGAAAAGGTTCAAGGGGAAGAAATATTTTTTTGTGCAGCACTTCATAGTGAGATTCATACAAAGACTAATTCAATTCAGATTCTGACGCAGCGCAGCCAAATACAGTAGATCTTGGGCTGGCAGATGGGAAAGCAACCAGATAGTAGGACCTTTGTACTATCTGTGCTGAATGACTCGGCACATGAAGCACTTGAGTTCGCTTTGGCAGGATGAATGTGGTTGGGAAGTGATTGCTTTTTCAATCCCAGTGTGTAGGAGTGATTGTCTCCGGATTGACCTGCAAAGCAACAAAAAGGTATTCAATAAAAAAAATTGCTCAATGTTTTATGAAGAAAAATAACTGAATTGAGACACAAAGAGGAACCTGTGAACATTTTTTTTAATTATTTTTTTTTTAGAAGAAGAAACATTTGGATTTCTTTTTTATTGGAGATGAAAAGTCATGTGGTGACATGGAGGATGTGGTTCTGCTTTTAGAGAGAAAGCTAAATATGACTAGTTTTATCCAGAAAATGTGTAGAAAAGAGTACATTTCCTGAAAGAGGTCAACAACCAGATGTCTCAGACAGTGTAACTATAAATCCCATCTGTGTTAGTCAGTGATAGTAGGAAGTGCAGGATTAGTCACAAATTGCAAAACCATGACATCAGAAAAAAAAATAAAATACAGTTTCCCATCTTCTCCGCCAAGCAGTCATCAACAGTCCTAATAAATATGCCTGCATGAAAATAATAACTATCTTTGCAACACAGGAAAAAGAAAAAAGTCTTCACCTGTTGAACAGTGCGTTAATGCTGCAAGGCATCATGGGACAGCAGCTCTCCTTTCATTCTCTTAAGGACGATCTTTTGTATTAAGCGCTGAAGTGGGTAAGAAAGGAATCGCTGCAGCTCAGTTTCTCGCTGATTTAATAGTTTTTAATAGATTTAACTCTTATCACAGCTGCTGCTCCTTCAAGGTCATTTATCTCAGTTACGGTCAAATCTTATGTTAAAAAAAAAAAAAAAAACTAACTGCACTGATAAACATTTTAGCGCTCCGACTTTCAGCTCCCTCTTTATGCAGAAACCTTCTCTATCATGCAGTCTTTAGAAAAGAGGTCCATCATTGTAGAGTAGAGGAAAGTGATGCAAAGTTGTCCTTTTATTTTCACTAATAAAAATCAAAACTGTCAAAATAAAATCCCCCCGACATCCATAGACCTAAATAAGACTCGGTGAAATCAACTGTCTTAAGAAATCACATAACTACTTCATAGATCACCTGAGCTACATTCACTTTAGCATAAATAAGTCTGTTCTATGAAGGCCTCATAGGTTTGCCAAATAACATTAGTGCACAGACAAGATCATGAAGATCAATCTGCAGAGCACCGAGGTACAAGAAACTGTGGTGGAAAAAATTAAAAGTAATACAATAATATTCAGAGCTCTAGAAAATCTCTTGGACCACCGAAAGTGGCTTATTTGTCTTGTATCACACTGAATTATGTATTTATCTATCAATAAATCCTGTTTATTTGCATAGCACATTTGAACAACGTAGCAGTTCAAAGTGCTTTTCATCATGAAAACATAAAAAAAAAAAACTGCAGTCAATACTTTTGAAACTAATAACAGACAATATATTCTGTCAAGGGCTGTCATTAAAATCATCAATGCACATCAAGTCCATTGGTCAACGTTCCATTTATTATGGTTCAAAGGCATCTCTAAAACTTGTGGGTTTTACTCTGTTTGTAGGACCTCAGTGTTTCGGCTGCTTTGCAGTTTTCTGGAAGTTTGTTCCAGATTTGTGGTGGATAGAAGCTGAACGCTGCTTCTCCTTGTTTACCTAGACTTACTTTGATTGAGTACTTCAGGAATCCGAGGGCGTCTTTGTGACTTTTTGAGGTCTGGTATTTCATTTTTAAAATGTCAGAATCTGCCGCTCTCTCTTTCTGTTTCTTTCTCTCTCTTTTTTTTTTTTTTTTTTTGCTATTTCAGTGCAATATGAATGACGTGGCAGATCACCTTTGGTGAAATCAGTCAATGACCTGAAATGCTTCTTGCATTTAGAGAAAAACAAGGGACATTTCTTTGCTTTTTAATAAATGGAAATCAAGGGGCGTGTTAGAAACCCCCTCGAGTTGTTTTTAGTCATTTAAAATAGAAATACAGCTTAATCTGAGATGTTTTAATGGACTGAATATATTTGCTGCCTGGGAACATCAGTGAATTCGAGGTATTTCTGCAGCTATTTTCTTGTTCCCTCCCACTCGTTCTCAAGGTTAACTCAGTTCCTGTTATCCTCCCTCTTCAGGACAACAGTCGGCGAGTGGAAAACATGCTGAGGCTGTGGATCATCGAGGCCAAGGACCTGCCGGCCAAAAAGAAATACTTCTGTGAGCTCTTCCTCGATGACTCACTGTACGCTCGCACCACCTGCAAGCTCAAGACCGACAACCTGTTCTGGGGGGAGCACTTCGAGTTCAGCAACCTGCCCGGCGTCCGGAGCATCACGGCGCACCTCTACAAGGACACGGACAAGAAGAAGAAGAAGGACAAAAACAACTACATCGGCCTCGTCAGCATCCCCGTCCTGACCGTCACCGGGCGGCAGTTCGTGGAGAAGTGGTACCCGGTCAGCACACCCACCCCGCCCAAGGGTAAGACGTCGGCCCCCATGATCCGGATCAAGGCCCGCTATCAGAGCATGAACATCCTTCCGATGGAGATGTACAAGGAGTTTGCGGAGTACACCACCAACAACTACATGATGCTGTGCTCGGTGCTGGAGCCGGCCATCAGCGTCAAGAACAAGGAGGAGGTGGCGTGCGCGTTGGTGCACATCCTTCAGAGCACCGGCAAGGCGAAGGTTGGTGATCCCCTACTCAACCTCAGTTTTATCAGTTTCCATTCATCCAGCGTTCCTGTTCTCTGCAGGAACGACTCAGATAATAAAAAAAAAAGGGACAATGTCAGCCCATTATTTTGCCATGAGCCTCTAACTTCACATTACAAAAGCTCAGAGAGGTTAACAATTCCTCTGCTGCCTGCTAATCCGGTGAACTCCTGACCCCAACCTCCCTCTTTAAACACAGCCGTAGCGCCAACGGCAGACACACAAGTGATTTCTTCTTGACATAGCCGCCTGAATTACAGTCAGAACTCGAGCTAATCCCTTACATGCATCTCCTGCGGTGCCTCGCAGCATACCGAAGCTCAAAAATATTCACCGCCGGCTGCAGATTAGTTCACTACAGCTGCGGCTAAGTCTCCCATGACAGCAGACCGTTGGACTCAAATAACCCTTTATCCGTCTACCCAAGTAAAGGAATCATTGTACTTTACTGAGCAACAACGTTGAAAAGTTTGAGAAAAAATGTATGTCCTCTTATCTGTCTCTGAAGAGGAAAAAAAAGCTCAATTGCTTCCTTTTTTACAAAGCCAACCAGAAACAGCCTGAATCCCAGAAGTTTTAAATTAGCTTGGAAAAATGTACTTAAAAAAAAAACATTTTTGTTTCAGTTACATGCATAAAAATCTACAATTACTTACAACGCAGAGGGAGTTTGTTTATCATCTATATCCAGTGTAATTCCTGCTGAGGCACTTTGTGTGGAATTGGAGCATATTATTAAATGTGGCATATGAACTTTATGAAAAGCACAGTTTCAGAAGCTACACATATTTTATTGATTTTTGCACTCCGTCACTTAGCAGCTAGCTGCTGGTGACAAGCAACGCCAAGGTTTTTAAAAGTTAAGCGCTCCCTTTATTCCCCAGAGGTCATACAGAGTGCACAGCAGACATGTGGAACAATTCTCTCTGGCCTGATGAGACCTGAACTAAAGTGTCTGGCCTACTTATGAAGCACTACTTGTGGCAGGAAACTAACACTAGAACCCTGAACAAAAAGACCCTAAAGTGAAACATGACATCAGTGGCATTTAGCTGTAGGTGTAGTTTATGGCAAGGGCGTAGGAGCAAGTTTATCGTGGGGGGAGGGGAGGGTAATGTGTTTCTACTTACAATCCAATAATTAAATTAAAATTACGTATCCAAGTTACTGTGTGTTAGTATTTTTGTATTTAATTTTTTTTTAGTGAACACACATTGTTGCTTTCTTCTTTTTCCTTGGGGAGTTACGATTTATGTGTGACACAAACGTAAACGATGTAGGTAAAAGAGATGCACATTTTCTTGCTGATGTTTTTCATTGAGTAATCAAATTACTTTTGTCAAAGTAACTATGCCGTCCCTGGTAATAAATTATCTACACTAAACATCACTTGTGTGTAGGCCTGTCACGATAACACATTTTGATGGACGATAAAATGTTATTGCGATAAACGATAATATTGTTGTTTGGAGACCATTTTTAAGTAATATAATGGTAATGGCAAAATAATATAAGTAATGACATGATGCAAGGACCATGCATGTCATGCGGCTTTGGTTCATTAACAAAGAGAAAGTGACAGTGTTACTTTGGGCAACTTTTGTCCTTTAGCTCCTCATCCGCCATGGTTTCCTCCATGCAGTTTGTGCCTCGGCTTAGTTTTCCCAACAGCTTCTTGGGGTTTTATCGCAGCCTGGCAGATTGATGAATGATTGGCATTTAAGAAGGAATGTCTGTCCTCACAGCAGCACCAGCCCGTTGGTGGTTTAGGCTGGTCTCTAATATCTGCTGATTGATTGGAGGACCAGGCCTCTGCTGATCCCCTGAGAGGCGAGGGCCGCGTCTTTAATTACCAATCAGTTAATCCTGTCCTTCTCACTAAAGCTCTTTTTAGGTCTTTCAGGCCTATTACGTCTTGTTCACCTTGTGGTCATCTGTCATGTCTGGATTTCAGTAAAACTCTTCTTCTGGCACTGAGAAGAAAGTTCACAAAAATCCCATCAGGAACGAATTGAACCGGCTGTGTTTTCCTGTTCGCCTCTGCAGTCTCGTTAGAGAAACTAGCAGGCAGCGGACAGCTTTTGGACTGTCATGCAAAGGGAAAATGTTGACTGGTAATTATTACAGCTTTCTTTATACTTGAAAGTATGTGGGGCTTTCTATGTTTTTTTTTTTTAAGCAAGTCATGCGGTGCCAGCAGCACAAAGCAGAAATATCTGAAAATATTTCAAGCCTAAAATGGATATCTTCCGCAGCAGCTTGGATGCCGTTTATTTTTCTAGATCTTGCGGCCAGTGTTGGATGGTTTGCTTTTAATACTTAATGTTGAAGCCTCGTTTCATGTTGCACCAACTAAGTCATGATCCAAAAATTGCAGAGTTATATTTGAACAAGCTATTCTGGGGCCAAACCTTTAAAGTATGGCATCCCCCAAGGCTCAATTTTAGATCCCATTTTGTTCATTTTATATTTATTACTTCTAGGTCAGATTTTCCATAAATTTAACGTTTCCTTTCATTGCTTTGCAGATGACATCCAGAATTATATGCCCCTTAAACAAAAAAATGGAAATAAAGAATCTCTTCAGTTATTGACAGATTGTTTGGCTGAAGTTAAATCTTGGATGGGACAAAACTTTCTTCACCTAAACCAAAGAAAAACTCAAGTTATATTATTTGGCCAAAGTCTTTACACTACAAAACCAGATCAGATTCTGGGCTCTTTAGCTCAATTTTGTGAAACCTCAGTTAGGAATCTTGGCTTTACTTTTGATAGCTGTTTAAAGCTCGATAAACAAGTTAGTTTTGTCGTTAAATCGTGTTTTTATCACCTATGGATTTTAGCAAAAGTCAAATCTTATTTTTGTTTTAAGGACTTTGAAGGACTAATCCATGCCTTCATTACCACTCGTCTGGATTATTGTAATTCTTCATATAGTGGCATGGTTAAATCACAGATTCATCGACTTCAAATGATCCAGAATGCAGCGGCACGGCTTCTTACAGGAACCAGGAAGCATGACCATATAAGGCCTACGCTGGTCAATTTACACTGGCTGCCTGCTATGTATAGAATAGATTTTAAGATTCTTTTATTAACTTATAAAGTTTTAAATGGGTTAGCGCCCCCTTATCTTCAGGATCTTTTAAAATTTCAGTCTGTATCCAGAACCCTCACATCAAACAATCAGCTTTTACTTACAGTCCCTCAGACCCGACTAAGGAAATGAGATCAGGCTTTTTCTGTTGTTGCTCCTAATTTATGGAACAATTTGCCTTTTCACATTAGATCTGCTAGCAGCCTGGATCATTTTGAATCGCTTCTCAAAACTCATTTTTATTCGTTGGCTTTTAACTGAAGCAATTTTTTGATATTCTGTTTTTATCTATTTGTGTTACTGTCGTTCCTGTGCGTAAAGTGCTATATAAATAAATTTGACATTGACGTATATATATATATATATATATATATATATATATATATATATATATATATATATATATATATATATTATATATATATATTATATATATATATATATACACGTGCTATATAAATAAATTTGACATTGATATATATATATATATATATATATATATATATATATATATATATATATATATATATATATATATATATATATATATAAAAAATTCCCTTCTCACCCACCGCGGGTGGTTCTTATCCTCTGAGCTCGGGTCCTCTACCAGAGGCCTGGGAGCTTGAGGGTCCTGCAGTATCTTGGCTGTGCCAAGGACTGCACATTTCTGGACTGAGATGTCTGATGTTGTTCCTGGGATCTGTTGTAGCCACTGCTCCAGTTTGGGGGTTACTGCCCCGAGGGCCCCGATGACCACAGGCACCACTGTGGTCTTCACCTTCCAGGCCCTCTCCAGTTCTTCCCTGAGGCCCTGGTATTTCTCCAGTTTCTCGTGCTCCTTTTTCCTGATGTTGCAATCACTTGGTATTGCTACATCTACCACAACGGCTTTCCTCTTATGTTTATCCACTACGACAATGTCTGGTTGGTTCGCCATTACCATTTTGTCTGTCTGGATCTGGAAGTCCCACAGGATCTTAGCTCTGGCGTTCTCCACCACCTTTGGGGGTGTTTCCCACTTTGATCTTGGGGTTTCCAGTCCATATTCTGCACAGATGTTTCTGTACACTATGCCTGCCACTTGGTTATGTCGCTCCATGTACGCTTTCCCTGCCAGTATCTTGCACCCTGCTGTGATGTGCTGGACTGTCTCAGGGGCCTCCTTGCACAACCTACACCTTGGGTCTTGTCTGGTGTGGTAGATCTGGGCCTCTATTGCTCTGGTGTATATATATATATATATATATATATATATATATATATATATATATATAATAACATATTGTATTATAATATGTATAATATTATATTATGTATTATATTATGAATTATATAAATATAATATATAGGCTATACATGTATATACGTAGTAAACTGAAACTACAGTACTGTTTTGCTCTATGATGTTCTTGTCTTTGTGTTTCTTAGATTATATTCTTTCATTACAGCCAAACTATCTACACACAGGCAGTGATTGCATAGTTACTTTGAAAAAGTAACTTTTATCAGATTACTGATTACTCCTTGAAATAGTAACTTAGATTACTGACTCCTTCATTTGGAAAGTAACAAAGTGACATTAACAGTAACTATTTTAGTTACTTTCAGCAGCTGCTAACAACAACAACGCTGTGAAAATCATATTGATCTATCAATATTTAACAGCAAGTTATTTTATAATGATTACATCAACAATACTTAACAGCAAGTTATTTTATAATGATGACATCAACAATACTTAACAGCAAGTTATTTTATAATGATGACATCAACAATACTTAACAACAAGTTATTTTATAATGATGACATCAACAATACTTAACAACAAGTTATTTTATAATGATGACATCAACAATACTTAACAACAAGTTAT